ACCGGCCTGTGGACGGGGGGGACGGGGGGGACGGGGGGACGGGGGGGTATGACTTTAAATAATGATGTAAAATCTGGCTGTTGTAGAATCTGGCCTGTAGTGAGGAGCAGCATGAGAGACGCCACCGTGGAGTCCGTGTGCATCCAGCTGTTGCGCATAACACGGTTGCCAAGCGCCACATCGGCTGTCAGCTTGTCAGGGGAGGGAAGAGGGGGGCCCGGGGGAAGGGGGGGGGGGCCTGGTGCTCGGTTGATGCTTTTTGATAGGGTGGAACAGTGAGACACCGAACACAATCACGTTCCATTCGCTGTGGCGACGGGAGACCAAGAAAATGCTGCCCGTCTCTCTTCTCCCCGTGAGAGTCCGTCATTCACAAATCCCTGCAGACAGGGACGGGGGGGGGGAGGAGGTGGGGGAGGGGGCGGCGAGGTGGCAGAGAAGAACGCGGAAAACCCTTTTCCTGGCCCTGCTGCCTTGCTTTCTTGCAGCCGGCCGTTCCGAACAGATGCTCCCTCGGTGCCTCTCGCTGCATCCGACACCCACCCATCATCTGCTTCGGCAGTCTCCCGCCCACCACCCACCTCCTCCAGCTTCACCTCTGATGCCCAACCGAGACCGTCCATCTGCTGCACGCATCCGCGGCGATAGTGCCGATACTGTATAACCACTGCAGCTCTGACCATATTCATGCACGTATTCACGCAGCCACATTAGCTTGGAAGTCAGTGTTTAAGCAAAAGTGACAACAACCCCCCCCCCCCCCCCTCCTTCCCCCTTTTACCAACTAACCACCTGATTTCTCTGGATTGTCAACATGGTAAAGTAATTAACAAACATTTATGCCACTGGCTCTTAATTAGCAAACTGAATTAGTAGATTTGCTTGTTAATTCATGGCTACGCAGCTGCTTCCTGCTTATAAATAGTGAATGCCGTCGACTGAGTTAGAGCCGCTGGGGAGAACTTTTCCCCGTGCTTCTCTACCGGTTCTCTCCGTTTACTCCGACATCTCGGGCTAATTTCAACAGCGCTTCTGATGCACGATGTCCGATATGTTGTTTTCATTTTAAAACTGCGGCATTTCTAGGATACCAAAGGAGGAGCAGGGCCTTCTATCAAAGAATAATCCCTGAAATGAGAAATGTTTTAGGCTGCAAACCAGTGGTTATTGGATAACACTTTCAAGGCAGCGTTGTATTTTATTAAAGCAATATATTCTCTCCCTCCCTCTGAGTTTTTTCTTCTCTTTCATTCACGCTGACACACACACACTGTTTCCTCTTTTCTCTCCTCGCTTCATGCTGCTAATTCACGCGCTGTATTAGCGGGTGATTCGTTTCGCTTGGTCTGAAAGCAGAGATCACACGTGGGCCTTTGTGACAGTGGGTTTTTAAATTCACTGTGGTTCATTGAACATTATTCATGAAGAGCGAGCGAAATGGAAAACAAACAGAAATAAATAAATAAATAAAGCCAAAGTACGCGTGTTTGATGTGGAGGTATCGACGGGTTTGCCTGTCCGTCCACCCATCCGCTATCAAAGCAATCGTTTCTTTTACCAGCTCATATATGCTGAACACGGGTCATTCTGTACTGCCCCCCCCCTCCCTCTCCCCCCCGTTAATCCACTACATACTACTCTGCGTGCAAATCTGCAGGTGGAGATGCTAGTTAGCTGTCGGCTAAATAAAGGCGCTAACAGCTGAGGAACGGAGGTTGCACTAAGTTACATTATGAGGCTTTATTAGCGTTCAAATAAGCTCTAAAATGCTTATAATACATCGTTAAAACCACTGAATTGGAAATCCGTACGAAGGAGGTAAGGCGAGTCCAGGTATTTGCCTCGTTTTACGGAAGGAGACAATCGAATCGTCCTCAGCTGCTATAGGTTGTTGTTACCGTGGATACGAGCAGACGATTTGCAAAGTAACTTTTATCAATCAGATACAGAGGATCAGGCCTCAATTGCACACCAGTGCAACCAGCCTTCAACCAGCGGCGTTGAGAGATGACCCCCCCCGTCAGGGTTAGGTTGAGTGACGCCAAGCGGCAGTTGCTAACGAGGCCTCGCGCGGACGACGGTGACCCAAATTAAGCCGGGACTAATCGTTTTGTGCAAAATGTCAAAAGGACAATCAGATTGCGTTCGTGTGTTAAAGAGGTATTTACAATTACTTCCTGTAAAGTGCGTGCAGAGGTTGAAAAGGCAACAGCCTCTCAAGCAATGAGGACCCCCACCCATCCTCCAGCGCAATCAGCTCAGCATCAGGAGTCATTTCTTGATTGTGCCGGAGACTCGTTGCCGGTTGAGCGGCTGTTGAAACGCTCCGAAGGCGGAGCCGGCAGATGAGTGACAGGTTGGCGTCGCTGGCGGTGGGAAGGTCGGAGGACGTAGTCGTAATGTTCCTGCTTATCGGAACAGACTTCAAACAACATCCGCGTTCCACTCCGGAGCTCGTTATCATTCCGTTGCACTGCCAGGTTCCAGCAGCCGTTCCTTTGGTTTTTTAGGGAAGTGATGTGTTTGGTGTACGGACCAAAGAGCAGCATGAAGAGGGCCCGGTGTTTCCGGAGGATGGGATGGGATCAGCATGGTGGTCGAGGTGGAAACGGGACGGGAGTTCTTCCGCCAGGTCGTCGGGTCGCGCTGTGCTGAGAAGGAGCTGAATTTGGCCGACAACCGCCTGGCTGCCGGCCTTTCGGTCCCCCCCAAAGCCCGCCGCGGCGTCCTGGAGCAGCAATCATCTTTCTCCGTGTGAAACAGCCCGCGCTAACACCCAAAGGCTTTAGCGAATTAGTTCAGTCGGCAAGGGGCTCTTTCCCCCTCATCTCCTCTAGCTTTCCACTAAAAGCCACGAACACATTGAACCCGACGGAGACGCCTGCCCGTCGCTCTCCATTTTGCACGTGTGGGAAAACGAGCGTTTGCCGGCCTTCAGGAAATATGAGCAATAAAGTGAGTCGCCCTCTCGGGTTGCATCGCGGCCCGAGCAGACGGGGGGGGTGAATTTCCCCGACGAAGGTCTGTTTGTGTTGGAGGCTGATGGAGAGCCAGCGAGAGGAAGAGGGTATCGGATTGAGCCATCGCTCAGCTTCCCCCCTCCCGCCCCCCCGGCACCGATATCTTGTTTCCCTCTCAAACAGCGCTGGATGAATCCGCGCCCCTCCGTGCGTTATTGCCGGGCCGATGCATCGGTTGTAGATCACCGTAAAGAACGCGGCGAGCGGCTGCGGCGGCGGCGGAACGAATCCGGGTGAGAAATTGGTCCTTGCGGCAGCACGGAAAATTGAGCGCTCTCCGCGGGCCGCTTTGACCCATCCACGCCTCCCCCCCCACCCTCGTGCTCCTCAACAGAGCCCCTTGAGATCCATATTTAGAGACAATGGGGCGCTGGACAAGTTCTTGTGTGTCTAAATCACACCAGTGATCAGTCGCTGCACCTCGCTTCCTGTCTAACTGTCGCGTCAGTATAATACCTGATCTACTAACAAATGGGTCTCTGTGTCTGTGAGTCCACCGGTGGCGCCTGGATGCTCGCTCACCTCCGTGTTTTGCATCCATCACGAACGCAAACGCGGACGCAAAACAAATTTGGAGCGCCGCCGTGCGAGGGAAGCGAGCCCGAGGGGCGAGTCGTCCTGAAATGAAAAGCGTGTCTCTTTGTTCAGCCTCAGTTCCAGGAACGAGAGGAGGAAAACAAGAGCATCTCTCGCTGTGGGGGGGGGTCTGGAAAGGATGGGGGGGAGGCGTTGAGCTGGCGCCGGCATTTCCTCAGCCTCAGGTAGGAGGATTAGATTAGATTAGCTGGAGAGAGAAAGCGAGAGAGGCTTCTCTAATCCCGTGGAAAAGGGGGCGTGGCTTGCCTCCCTAAACACGCCACGCTTCCACGAGAGAGGTCGTGGCAAACGATGGAGGCAGCGAATCCTTCGTTGGAATTAAGGGCCTTTGGTGAACACAGAGGAGCCCCCACGAGGGGGGGACGGGGGGACGGGGGGGTCGCTGTGTGATCCACACCAGGACGTCTCCACCCGCTCAACTTCAACCCAATGGTCCTGGTCCCTCACACATCCTTACCACGTTACTCAGTGGTGATCCACAAGCACCACAAATACGTCTTGTTTTTAATGTAGAGGTTTGATCACAAATCAGGCATCGTCATGATTTAAAGAACAATGTATTTCTAGAAACATGGCAGATATTACAACAGGCTTCATCCAATGGAAAATAATGCAATGTAGCACTTATTTAGGAAGATAAACCCTCATTTGTATGTTCCAAAAAAACATTTCACACAGGGAGGTTTTATGGTGATATGCATTAGTTACTTTGTATAAACTGTTGTCTATATATGGTGATATAGGGATATGCATTAGTTACTTTGTATAAACTGTTGTCTATATATGGTGATATGCATTAGTTACTTTGTATAAACTGTTGTCTATATATGGTGATATGCATTAGTTACTTTGTATAAACTGTTGTCTATATATGGTGATATGCATTAGTTACTTTGTATAAACTGTTGTCTATATATGGTGATATGCATTAGTTACTTAGTATAAACTGTTGTCTATATATGGTGATATGCATTAGTTACTTTGTATAAACTGTTGTCTATATATGGTGATATGCATTAGTTACTTTGTATAAACTGTTGTCTATATGTATCCATGTTCCTAAAACGCTGAACGCTCGGGGATGTTTTTCCGCCGCGGGCTTTCTGTAAATCATTGTATCGTAATGTTGTGTCGACGAGGCGACGTTGTGTTGTTGTGTTACTTCTGAACCATTTGTTCCCGGGCCGACGTGGCCGCGAGGAGTAATGGCCGCTCGCTGAGGTCTGGTTGCAGGGCAGAGCGAGAGGGTGAGGGATCGTGGGAGCTACGGGAAGCCTGAATAGAAGTCTTTGAGCTGTGTGTGTGTGTGTGTGTGTGTGGTGAAAACAACCTTCCACTGCAGGGTTATTATCTTTCATGAGGACCTCTCTTCTCATCGTGCAGGTCCCCGAGGTGAGGCCCTGCAGCATGGCCAGTCCGGGACCCTCCCCCGCTTCCTGGAGGAGCCCGTCGACGCTTACATCGTCAAGAGCAACCCCATCAAGCTGCGGTGTCGAGCTCGGCCCGCGCTGCAGATCTTCTTCAAGTGCAATGGCGAATGGGTCCACCAGAGCCAGCACGTGTCTCAGGAGCACACCGACCTGGGGACAGGTACGCACATCAGTGTGTGTGTGTGTGTGTGTGTTCTCCCTGCCGAGCCTCCTCCTCGTCCCGTCAGGTCACGCTCGCATTTCCCACAGCGAGGACGGTGTCTGGGAAATGAACTTTGCATACGGGGCTTTATGAGAACGCCCGCGGCGGCGTTCGACCCCGCCAATGTATTTCCCTCGCCGCTTTGGGCCGGAATGTGTGTCACATTTGATCAAAACTGAATTGACAACTTTTGGATGAAAGGCCACTTCTCCGTTTTAGGGTCTGGCTCTGGGTGACTTTTACTGATGCAACTCGCTGAAATGAAGTTGTTGTTGTTGTTGTTTTAACTCCAAATTCAAACCACAAAAGGAAAATGTCCTTTATTTTCTCCAAAGCTCCTGTCTGCTTCTATTGCATCATTTCACAATGGGTATAACAACAAATACAAACACTGAATCAGGCGCTTTTTTCTCCTCGAAAAGTGCAATTGACCGATTCTCGGGACGATAAAGCTGCTGCTTGACATTGAAACGTTTAATAATAAATAAATATGCTTGTTCTATTATGATCCTATAAAGCATCCAGGTGATTGGATCACAACTAAAACATTAGCTGCACTAATAAAACGAGGTCTACTTCTGCACTGAACATGAGATGAACATTTAACCAGATTATAAACTTGCTGAAAAAGGTCAGGATGAAGGGTAAATATTTATGAGCCGGTCTCGGCTGCTATTAGTGCCACGGTGTTGATGCTTCACTTCACACACAGCAACAATCAATATCTCCCTCCACAGGTAACAATGGACCTCTAAATTTGAACTGCCTCTAGTGTGGATTCATTGTTCCCGCTCCCATCTGGCTCCTTATCACCATTCATGTCTGTTTCCTCTGGGAGAGACAAAGACAACTGCAGACGGGAGAAGAGAATAAAAGTGGAAAGGGGAGAACACGTTAAAAATCCTGCTGTCCCGGTAGCTCGTAAAGATGAAAGATCTGTCCAGCGTGTGCGTATTTATTCCCCCAATCACCATCTGTCGGATGAGGCAACAACACACAGCGCACGTGGAATTAGGCTGTTTTATGAATAGTTGTTGGAACCTTTGCCCAAAACGTACAAGCAACAAAGAAACGCGGGTCAGCACCATTCCCACGTGGGTCATTCGGGTTTATTTTAACGCGACTGAAGCCGTGGTTTTTGTTTCATCAAAACGCAGAGAAAACCTTCTGACCGGGCTCAGTGTTTATTTAGGAAACATTCCGTCTTGTCTCTGATCCGCTGAGTGCCTCAGTGTTTCAACACTTTGAACTACAAAATCAGGAATCAGGAAACATTTACTACCGAAATATGTCAGACATGGAGGAATTTGGCTTGGCGGTTAGACAGTTAGACAACGGACAACAGGACAGATAAGACAACATAGTGCAAGAGGAATAAAAAAAACATAGAATAAAATGTAAGGCTTTGGGTTAGTTTGAAAAATAAAGGAATAAAAGTTCAAAATAAAGTGCGTTAGCCAACACAATTGTGTTGTGAGTGTTCGTCAAAGTGAATGTAGTTTAGATGAAATGCTCTCTGGCGTGACGTGAGCATATTAAGAAGCTACAGCCACTTTATTGGATCAAAGGGAATAAAAAATGTGCAGAACAAAATGTTCCTTAATTAATGCCAATTTCATTTGGTTTTAACCAACTCTGGCCATGTTTTGCAGCCCACACTCCAACAGCCTCCTATGATTGTTTCCCAGATCGGAGAAGTTTAATGTCAAGAACTTAAGTAAAAATACTGATTCAGGGAAAGCGGTGATAGTTAATGTCACAGTGTTACTCTCATCAGACATGCAACGGATATTTAACAGCAGATGATTTAATACCATATTGACATTTTTGTCTTAATTAATATTTTTTGGGGAATTCAAAAGAGCTCCGAAATCATCATTCAAATCACTGCTTTACACAAGTAACCCTCAGAGCTGCGAGTAGGACTGTAGACTCTCGTTTGCGTATCAATTCTACAGTAATTCTCATGGAGAGAAATTAAAACTTTGTTTTGTTGTTCAATTCACTCTCTCCCCCTTCGATGAATATTTTTTTCCATTTCATTGCTTTCTTTTCCTTCCGGCACTTGAACACAAACGTACGTCTGTCTCTAAGCTCAAAGGCTTGTGTTCCAATATAGTGCGGCGGCATTGAAGGCCCTCGAGGGAGGCCCCGCTCTCTGTGATGATCTGCAGCTTTTTCTGCGCGAACACGCGTTACTATTTCCCAGGTGTGAGATACAGAAGGTTTAGTGAGTGTTTTTACAAACCCCGTCGGTCACTTAGTGGCTCTCACGCCGAGATGGGCGGACGTGCTACACACTGAGAGGATGAACAGACGACCCCGTCCCAGCTATACCTGTCACATTAGAATGGGCCCTGGGCAAAGAAGAGCTGTGGATCAACTGCAGACCGACTCAGCGACACGGGCCTGACCGTCGTTCGGCCGAGGCCCTGATGTTCACAGACAGCTAGCGACATACTGTATTTTAGCTTCACGTCAAGCCGTTTTTCTCGGATTCAGTCTGAGCGTAGCAGACACGAAAAAATAAATGGCATTTAAGCTTCCGCGAACGGCTTCGACTGCTGCATGAAAAGAGTAAAAAGATCCATGTGATGGCTGAATATTTCATAACTGCACCTCATTCTCTCTGAGCGCTAATCCTAACTAGCTAACGTTTCCATGGCGACGTGTAAGCTCGAGCTGTCTTGTGACTTCTTAAGATTTATAGCAGAAGAAAATGAGAGTTCTTCTCCCCGAATGTCGAGCTCAGGCTACTTAGTTTTGTGAAAGCCCTTGAAATGTGGAGGGATATGGAAGAGATGTATCGCACGGAAGCCATTAAACAGAACTCAGAGGAACGAGTGCACAGTCAGCAAAGGCACACGGCGTCTGACGCACAAGCTTAAGCCTCATTATGTGTCAAGAGAGATGCTTTAAAGATGTGTGTTTTTGTTTATTTCACAGCAAATACAACCCGTGCTGTTGACAGCTCGCTGTTCTGGACAGACTATGGTTATTTGGTGCAGGATGAGACAGAAAGAGGGTAAAAAACTGCATTCTGCCCGGAGACAATACAGCTACTCCGTTAATGACAATTCCTCTGCACTCTCTACGTTGTGCACAGGCCAATAGTTCAACAATACTCACAGCAACATCGTCTTTTGTCTTCTGGAGATTTAAACCAGCTGCTGGTGTCATGTATTGCCGCTGGATGTAGTGTAGGCTGTAATGAGAGCTCATTTATTATCATTATGCTGTTATTATGAATAATAACACTGTTGTGCTATTCAAACCATTAACTGGGCTTGCTGTCAACCTATGAAATATGTTGCATCGATCAATAAAGGAATGTTTTGTGAGATAAAAGAAGATACTGAATCTTGGACATCAAACAATTCTCTCACTTTGTTGCTTCCATCAGTTTGAGTTTATTAGATTTGGGTTTATTACATTTTTTCTTGAGCAATGCGGTTTGAAAGACGCCTGCTTTAGTGTAGAGATAATATCGTGAGGACTGACTCCGTTATTGACACTTTACTGAGTTTCATAGTATTAGTTTGGTTGGATCAGTTATGAGTACTGGAGAGTTTTGGGTATTAAGGTATTAAAGGAAAAAGCACAAACATTGAAGGCAACACCTGCTTACTGTTTCCTGTCTTCCTGGCAAAGCTGAGTCAGCATTAGCTTCATAGTTAGCAGACGGTAACTATGCTAACTATCAAGCTAAACCGGCGTTAGCTTCATAGTTAGCAGACGGTAACTATACTAACTATGAGGCTAAACCGGCGTTAGCTTCATAGTTAGCAGACGGTAACTATACTAACTATGAGGCTAAACCGGCGTTAGCTTCATAGTTAGCAGACGCTAACTGTATACTAACTATGAGGCTAAACCGGCGTTAGCTTCATAGTTAGCAGATGGTAACTGTATGCTAACTATCAAGCTAAACCGGCGTTAGCTTCATAGTTAGCAGATGGTAACTGTATGCTAACTATCAAGCTAAACCGGCGTTAGCTTCATAGTTAGCAGATGGTAACTGTATGCTAACTATCAAGCTAAACCGGCGTTAGCTTCATAGTTAGCAGACGGTAACTGTATACTAACTATGAGGCTTAACCGGCGTTAGCTTCATAGTTAGCAGACGGTAACGGTATGCTAACTGTCAAACTTTCCGTTTTAAGTAAACAGATTTCGTGGCCATTACTCCTAAGAGGCTCCTGAGACGAGCTGTGGAGTTGCAGGAAGAAAGCGCTAATGAAATACTTGGAAGGAGTTAGGCGGGAAGCTAAAGCAGACAGAAGGCTGCGGTGATAACATTAAACTTGTCGGCCAGTCTCATTATTGGCTTCGTACCTTTTGAACAGCTGTGGCATTTTGAAAATAGAGCCACTTAAAAAGAGAGGAGAGCGGGGAAAAAAATAATGTCTGGATGACGCAGAGTTTGTAGACGTTAATATAATAAGGCACAGCAACAAACGACGATGGTGCAGCATTTAATGAGGATTTGTGGAGACACTTGGAGACACGTCGTGTTTCATACGACATTGTCCGGGGAAGTGTGAACTCACACAAATTCCGTCGTCAGCAACAACGAAAGTGGGAAAACATCGCCCGTTTTCCTTCGAGAGGGAGACGGAATGAGTGATACTCTGCCTCATTGTTTGTCGCTGTGACATGATTGTATGTCAAAACCAAACCAACCCGCTCGGCGTGTGCAGAAGTCTCTGTGTGCGTCTGCTGTTGTTTGCTCGGGATTCAGAGTAAACGCGACGGATCAGTGTGAGCGAGGCCTCGGCGCAGTGGGAAGCTCCTCTGATTGGAGGACACAGATTTATCACATTTATCCTGTTTGTAGGGATTTAATTACAATAACTGACTGACTGGAAATGTATGTTTTCATTATAAAAAAAAAAAAGTACACATAAGTAGTAATTCATTTTACCGTTGGCACCGGCTTATTGTCAGAATGCATGAGG